TCTCGGCATCCATTAAGAGTTGTGGTCTGAAACTTTGGGGTTATACTCGGTAGGGTCCTAGAAGGTATCTCTATGAATTCCGTTTCGTAACTCGTCCCAGTTGGAGCTGGCCGCGAGAAAAACACGATATTCCAAATTTATTTGGAGGGCTGTAACGATGAAATACAGTATAAGTACTCAGAATTGCAGCCAGCCTAGATAGCGTCCCTTCTGGGTCCCCTTCAGCCTCCTCCACAGCCAGCAGTATCTCAGCCGCCTTCCTCTCGAGCAGTTGCTTCCTCGACCGCTCTATCTGCTGAGTACCTCATCCATCCATTATAACTCAACCTACTTTAGTTTGCCGACTAGCTGAAGCCAACCGACTACTCAAACGTCTTCGATCTTCCTCTTGAAGACCCAGCCTGTTCTCCGCCTCAGCCAACTCGGCTCGTAGAGCAACTCGCTCATCCACGACCTCTAAAGGAGCCTATGGGACCCTCACCGCCATTCCAACTCACCCACGACCTCCCCTGGAGCCCCCACCACAGATGCCGCACTGATCGGCACCCTCCGTCTCGGTGTTGTTGCCAGAAAACACGAGCGTGGCGACGACCTCTTCTGAGTTGAAGAAATCTTCTCACTATGCAATTTGATAGTAGCCCTACTAGAGCCCCAGGGGGCCCATCGTCCTTCCCTTCAAATTCCTCCAGCAGCTCCGTCTGCCTCATCCTCGTTCGTGCCTGTGCCTCTAGTAGACGCATCTCGAGCTCAGCGCTCGAGCCGCCTTTCTCGGTCGGAGAGTGTCGTGACATCGCCAGCTGTTAAACATAAACTTGGGAGTAAAACCAATATGCACCCAAAACACAACGCACTCTTATCGAGATTCATACAGGCTTTAAAGTGGTTAGGACCAGCAGCTTGCAGGGTACATATATTCCTCGGCCGAAGGTCGTCGATCAGTCATAATACAAGGTTCGATACCTGCTGGGCACCACCCAACTATGCCCCTGCCGAGAATCGATCCGAGGGTCTCCCGATAGACAGACCAGCCACCCACCCACCCACCTCGTTCTCCTCTGCCTCTTCGAAGGACCTCCATGGAGTGCTACACCTCATGATGTCGATCCAGTCCCGCGGCGGGTGACACACGAACTTCAGCAGCTCTCGCCTTCGACAATACTGCAATACTAAGTACCTGAGGACAGTCCCATACAAACCGCACCCACCCACTCCTCCTCCTTACAAGACGTTTCCAATGACTACCGCTCCCAACGTGAAGCCAACCAGCCCCCAGTCAGCATTCACCACAGGTGCGCCCAAAATAAAGCATATGAATACAGAGGGCGGCAAAAGCAGAATCACACATCCCCAGAAGCCCAAAGGGATCGTATATGGTCGCCATATATCCGGGTTAGTGTAACGCAAATACAGGAAGGCCGCGAACTCTAGCAGCTCCGCAAGGCAGTATCTACCCATGAGTACCATGGGCGGTGCCAGCAGCAGCACCCAGAACTCACATGCAATTGAGCAGCTCCACGATCTCTAGGAAATCCAAAGTCGTAAGGCTGAGGATGACACACAGCTGAAGGCAAATCGCAAAGGTAGGGGTCTCGTAGTGGTTACGGTAGGCCAGCTTCTCCGGAAGCCAACCATGCTCTGCCATAGCCTGACCGTACTAGGGTAGACCACCACACTAGTGGACAAGGCTCACCTGTATCTGGTAGGAGTCCGATGACATCTCTGCATGGTACTGCCCTATATTCGATACAGCAGCTGCAAGGACTACCCAGCCGCCCAGGGCCCATCCCCCAACATCATACGCCACCTAAGAGCGGCCCGCTCTACCATCACCAACTATAGCGGCCTTCTCACCTTTCCAAGAAAGCCCGCTTGCCACGCATCGAACGCTTGATCTCCCTTGAGAGCAAACGACCCATCGACCCCTGTAGCGATAGCCAGAGGGAGGATATAAGCCAGACAGGTGACACACAGTGCTAGCAGCAACGCCTTGGGCATTGCCGACCGGGCGTTCTCCACCTAACACCAGGAGGAAGGAGGTGCCCCCATATCGTGAACAACCCTACTACCTCGCCAGCCAAGGTCGAAACCGAGTCCCAATAGTTCAGGTTCCAGAAGAGAACATTCAACCACTTCGTCCACTCCATATCGGTTCGACCCAACAACCAGTTGGATGGCTCCACCTGTGGTACCCCCATGATTATGAACACGATGAATGGTGACAGCACGAAGCACATCATAGCAACAGCAAGCCACCCCACAACCTGAGCGGCGGCCAGTGTCGAGGCTGATAGGCCCTTAGACGCCCTACCTTGAGCCCTCTATAGTTGACATAACTCAGCGCGAGCGTCAAGACCACAAGGACAATGTTGCTGTACCTATCAACGGTCTGCGAGTAGTTTCTTTTCATACCACTCCAAGCACTACACTCTCTCGTTGAGGATTGGGAAGGCCACAGCTAGATAAGTCATGAGCAGGTGTGGATAGATGGCATTGTCCGTGGCGCCCGACAGCCAGGACCAGAACCCTTCCTGGAAACCCCAGTAGGGCCCAAACGCTGCTGTTACCCAAGACACGTACCTACTCCAATAATGAGCTCAGAGAGCGGTAGAGGCCGTAGTACCCGCAGTTGCTTGGGAAAGTGCTGCTCATCTCAGCAGTGACTAACGCCTCTGGCAAGCACCATACGAATGGAAAAATGAGGAATCCCAAGAGAGCCCAAAACGGCCCACCAGCCGCCACGGCGTCCTCTGTACCAAATGGACCTCCTAGACAAGAAATCCTCATAGACGGAAAATATCTGATACCACTTTTCCAGCAACTTACCAGAGACAGAGTAGAATATGATAGCAACTGCTCCCCACAGCGTTAGAGGTTTCTTCCTGCCCTGTGGTTTAATCATATAGCTCACTGAAGGGGACGTCGGATGGACCAGCAAGGGGCTCCTCAACTCCGCCTCCTCCGCCACAATTGCTTGCGTCTCAGCCTCCTCCCGAGACATCCCACGAGGCCTGACTCGGTCCCCAGAGGGTCGTCGATATAAAGGCTGACAGTCCTCTTGGCCTGTATGGTCGTTGGTGATGACCATTGCCGAGGTATGGTTTTATATTTCCCGCTTTGAGATGGTCCCAATAAGCTTGCTAGTAGTCTCGGCTGGCTGAAGAGTTATGATGACACTCGAACCAATACACTGGAGAGAGAGTCATGAAACTGAACGCATAAGTTCATATATAAGTAACGTTTGAGCCTGTGGACTCAACCCCAAATTTCACACTACGATAAAGTTAAGTCAACTCACTACGCGCTCGCCCAGGTGATCGATTTGCGCGCATGATGATTACTCTATTCATCCCCACACCTAATACTGAACGGCTACTCAAACTAGCAGCATGAGTTAACTTGCGAGCTCTTCAGTTCAACGTCAAGTCTTAATAAGGCTGGCCTTAGAAAAGTGAGGGAGAACCCATGGCGAGTAGCAGAGTCCCGTGAAAACTCTTTACGTTGTCACAGTTGCTGACGATATGATCACTAAAACCATGCTATCATATTTGCGAGCCCTTGCCACAGTCAACTCTCACATAGTGTACGTCCTCAGACCGTGCACCACAGCTTCGTAGTTCTAACAGCTCAACACAGTAATCAAAAACAGCAATAGGAAACTTGACAAGGGCACTGATGAGCCAATAGGCACCATCATGCTTCTCCTTCCTCAGGGGCATGCTCTTCGACCCAGTCGGACCCCATGAGCTCGCATACTATCCTCCTATACTTCGAACAAGTCTTCGCAAGCTCAACCAGACGCTCCTCATCGTGGCGAGCGAGGTACCTGCCCACCAACACTCACCGACGACAAAACCACTATGGCATTCACTCACTCGACGAGCTTGCTGCGGGGCCGTACCGTCTTCCCTGCTATCCCCATGCGCTCCATAAAGGCCTGAGTAGTAGCCAACACATAGCCCCACACCAGAATGCCGACCACCAACTTACATCAATAACGGCCTCACTAGCAGCAACCTTCGTATCGCCGTCGTCATCTCCTATAGAGGCCTCAGACAAGACCTCCAGCTCTACTATAGAATACGGAACAGGATCGTCCGGAAAGGTAGCCGAGTCTACATCTACGTTGATTGCCTACAGCACAACAGCACTACCTCTCAAGAGGTACCAGGCGGACCCTTACGCGGCCGTCCTGCACAGCGTGATAAGTAGCCCTATGGCTGACGAGCTCCGCAAAGACCCTAAAACCGTCGCCCTCTAGTAGACTACGCAGAGTGCCTTCACCAGATGGGAATAGAAACTGAATACTTTCTGCCTCTAGAAGGGACCAGAACCCTACCTGTTTAACACTAGCCTCTCCCTCTACCTCGTTATAAGTCGACGACGACCCAGTATGAGAGCCCCTAGAGATAGCAGGTATCTTCATCTCCCAACCTCCATTACGGAGTCGTAACCATTGGTCTTGCCTAAGTATTTGGACACGTCATACCTCCCAATTCCTGTGCCGGCCTTTCCAGACGTGTCACTAAAATCCCAATAATAATCACAGCTTATTCTTCATATTGTAGACTCCGCGCCCTCAGGATAATGATAATAGAATTGCATTTTTCACACAATGTAACAACCCAGTTGCCAAGCCTCTTAATTGATAGTAAGCACATTTTCTTCTATATCTATATATGTCCTATCGAAGTGATACATACAAAGCGCCCACCACCGAAACCACATACCTATTTTCATAGTACCCACATTGATAAGAAATCAAGTCCCGCCCCCAGGTCACCTGACCAGCGTCATTTTCCTATCATCCCAATACGTATCATGCAGTACAACTCGGCGGACAGGGGGCCCAAGAGCGGACAGAAACCGGGCCAACTCAGTAGCCGACCCAAGGGCTATCTTCCTCTCCACCTCCAGCCGAGCTGCTGCTGCTGTAGTAGTAGCAGACATAATGGGAATACACAAACTATCCGCCTCCTAGTAACATATGTCCACCAGTAACATCAGCGATATTATAACTAGTTGTAATATAAATATTCAATAACTGTGTAAAGCCAGGTTCCTGTACATAACCAGAAAATGCATCGATCGTCACCATCACTAACCCCATTTTCAACGCATAAGCAGTCAGATAGTAATAGTAGTACTAGTGTCAATGTAGTAGTAAGCTGACCTGTGGACCACATACCACCCCAACGACGCCACAATCGAATACGGACGGAAAAAGTATTGTGGGAGTAGTTTTAATAACGCATACCACCACGAGGGGCCCTGTCGTATCTTTTTATATCATACGAGCTGTCATCGTCATCACCTGCAGAAAAGGAGGAGACCAGTGTTGGATGAATAAATGTTCGCATTCCTCAGCTAAGTCCAGAAAAATTTCCTCACTGATTCTACAAGTTTACATACAAATTCGGCTGGAAGCGTACAGAAACCAATGGGAATTTCCTCAAAATTTCAACGAATGTCACCTACACATGTAGTTGTCTACGTGCATATTTTTCCACCCCGGAGGAGACAAATCAACCGACCAAAAATGTAGATCTCACCAGTATTGCGAGATCCCTCATTTCTAGTGACGCGAAGACGCTCGGTACACCCCTGAATACGTCTATTGTCCAAGGCCTTAATAACATCGTCAACCTGAGAGCGAGGACTATCAACAGCAGTAGTGTTGGAATATTCGCTCAACAGCTAACATACGAACTAGAAACGAAAATATCTCAAAATTTCCGCGAAATTTTCGTACCAAGTAGAGTAGAAGTGTACAGAAACCAACGAGAACTTCCCCAAATTTCCTCAGGATTTCCATATTGCCACCAACACATGTAATTGAACATATGCATGTCTACTTTTCTTCTGCTGAGCTAAACAGTTAACATAAAAATTAGAGTAGAAATGCACAGAAACCAACGAGAATTTCCCCGAAGAAACTCCTCCCAGAACTTCCATATTGTCACCAACACATGTAGTTGACCATGTGCATATTCCCCCACACTAGTCATCACGTGCTCTACCTGTGCGGAATCAGTGTACTCCAGCACACCGCAGCATACTCGGCCCTCCCGGAAGGTTCTGGCGAACGAACAAGAGCTGCCATAGTCCTTGCCTGATTAAAACGCATGAGAGAACCGCCCTCCTCCTAATACCACTCCTTCCCCACCTAGTTGTTTGAGCTCCTGCCAGCTCATGTCCTCTGGAAGGTTCTCCAGTTTCAGCTGTACCGCGCCCCTAGGGGCTCCACCATAGCGGCCCGGGCGAGAGGACTCCCTATCACCGTAAAAGCTGACGCCGTTATCGCCCTCTACACGACGGCCACCACGGCCGCCCTCACGGTCCCAGGACCCTTGGGGCTCAGCAGCTCTCGAACGACTTGACGGTGGGCTGTAACTGTTGGACAGAATACTCATAGCAATATGATGCTGATGAGCTCACTCAGGGTAGTCTCGACGAGCTGCAATGTCCCTCCCATAGTCGTCTCTGCGGCCCCCACGAGAATCTAAGGGAACTACATCACCATAAGGGTTACCTCAAGGGCCTACCTTCCCTATACCAATCGCCGCCACTGCCACGCCTGTCATAACTCCTCCTGTTACCAGAAGAGTACCCCTCGTTATAGTTGCCGCCGCCATTCCAACGCCCCCCACCATAGGAGGGTCGCCTCCAGTCCCTGACGACCAACAGACGATCTCGCACTCACTAGTCTCACAGCAAGAGCTACCTATTGTAGGAGTCATTGGGACGACGATTCTCGGTAGATTGTCGAGTAGCATGAGCGACCTAAGTGGACCAATAAGGGGCCTAGCAGCGCCCTAAGGGGCTACCTTAATGGTGAACCCACCAAACTTGGTTTGATCGACATCCTCTATAGCATCGGCAGCTGCGGTTTCCGAGTCAAACTGGAGGAAGGCGTACGTGTCTCTCGACGACTGGCAGATCTTGACGCCAACGACCCGGCCTGATACCATGTAATTCTATCGGTCCCCTACAATAAAGTGTTCTCACCAATTTTGCCGAACCTGTCCTCCAGTTCGGCCTCACGAACGTCAGAAGGGAGGCCTCCGATCCAGATGCGAGATGCGCATCCGCCCTCAGTAGTTGCCCTGGCAGGGGTGATTTCAGCCCGACCGTAGCGACGAGGAGTTGATCGGGACCTGTCCGACGGTCGAGGAAATATGATGGGATTTTTCCGCCCCTCTACCTGGATCGATCCCGCCTGGGTTCGCGTCTGATCTCGTCATCATGACTAGACTCGCGGCGACGGTCCCCAGAGAGGCTCTTTTGGCGACGACCATTATCCGAGTCGGCCGAGTCGGTGCTGCTACTCCCTCGAGCAGGGGCGGTACGAGATGCGTCCATATGAGCAGTACAACTAACAGAGTCATCAGCTGTGACAATAGGCTGCCCAGAAAGACCCTTGAAGGCCCTCTGCTGTACAGCACTCCCATCAGCCCTAGGGGGCTCGGACAGCTCCGAATCCTGATTGATGATGGGAGACTTGACAGGGCTCTCAACAACGGGAGAATCGCCCACCAACCATCCTGCTAAATGAAGCACTTTTGAGATGACACGCATGAACGGACGTTTTTACACGGGTTAAAACGCTCAAGATCGTCCTTGACGTGCAACCATCACATCATTCGCACCCGACGAACTTGTGCATTAGATTATACCGTCCGAATGATCCAATACGCTCCTCGATCGGGGGGCTCGATCAAGTGGTTGCCGTCGCTGAAAAAATTCCGATTAATAGTAAACTTCTTCCCTTTGCGACATCATAGCCCTGCAGCGTCACGTCCTTATTGTTGTTGATGTAGTTCATGGGTTCATGTTAGAATGTCCATGTAGGAGTATGGGTATTCGGGATCTCCTACCACCACCGCACTACACACCGTGGCGACGAAAAGGCCGGCCAGTGAGCTGCCCACTCAGTGCAGTTTTCCTAGTATGGATGGTAATATTGGTGGAGTTAGCAACAGCGCAAGAGTACACCGGCTACTGTCGTTGGGTCTCACAAGCTGACACTTCCAAGGGCTTCGAGGGGGTCCATGAAGTTTATGTCAGCTTTGATAACACCGACCAAACAAGGGGTTTAGTCAGCCTTTACGTGGACATGTCAGCTCGTGGTGAGCCTTCGACCCGGCAGGTCTACCTGTGCCCCGACGAGTTCGCCACTGTCAAGCAGACCTACCCTAATTCGACCAGTCCTGTCAGCATACAGCAGAGTGAAGTCACTATTACGTATAATAGCATGAGCTTATGCATGAGCAAAGCTTTCAATTTTATGAAGAATACTGGTCTTATCCGAAGAGATACTTCAACTCTCACGTACCTCCTCTTGGCACTCAACGAGACATGGTAATAGGCCTTAACAGGGACCAATTTCATCTTGTTGAATTTCAGGTTCGTTACTGGTCCCGACTCCAAGGCTGATCGTTTGCCGCTGTACACCGCTGGAAATCATATTCAGCGCTGCTCTAAAGCTACAGGACTGGGTATAAGGCCCATTTCTGGGGTATACTGCGCTTCTACGTATTCTCTCAATGCCACCAATGCTGATGAGTCCAGACTGGGTGCACTAGGGCAAGGCCTCTTCGTCACGGACTATGCCCCTGTGACAGAGTACCACCCATCGATCTTCGTGGGCGCTTTCAACTTCATAGTGGGCACTTTCTGGGGGTCGCTAAATCTGACCTCATACGATACGCCCGGCTGGCTCGAAACACTGCCTAGGAATAACCCGTTGACCTACACCATTGACACCAACGGTAACATCTCCGCGGTCCTTCGTTACGACCTAATATCAGTATTCATCAAGACCAGCTTATTAGACAGAGTCGGTGATGCTCAGACAATTGCGGTATCGTACCAGAATCAGTACACTCTGCAGCTCAGTGGGAGCCGACTTACATGCCCAACCATGTATGGTGAGGTTAGTGATATCATGTTGCCCGATGCGGTAAACGGGCCAAACCCCGGCATCTTACCTGCGATAGCAAGCAACGCGTGGAAGGATGCTCAAGGCCTCGTCCTTGGGTGCATCGCAGCGCTGATTATGGTGGGATTTGCCATTTGGTCAATTCGTGTCGAGAAACGTCGTAAAAAGGCTCTCAAGAGGCGAACGGCTTTGATTATATCCTCTTAAGTCGTCGTTTTTTGGTATGTTAATATCAAGCGACTATTGCCAGTGAGCAAAGAGCTGATGAGCGTCTTCTTTCTCCTAGATGTACCATAGTGAAACTGTGGCTGTAATGTTAACTATCGCTGCCGTTGAACATTTTGTAATATTGTCGATATAGGACAATAGCATTTCATTTCCCAAGTTCCATTTTCTCTCCTATACATATCCCTTGGGTTTTCTCAATATACCCCTTGGGGCCGCTCTAGTGTTGCAATCCTGATGCATGCAGTAGCACTAGGAGGCCCCGGCGGCGGCAAGATGGGCCCCTCTATAGGAGGTAGAGTATCGACTCAACCATATTTAGTGATCGTCTGTATCAGCCGGCCCTACTTCCTCTGTTGCCCCCGATTCGGGAGTTCTATCCTACTTCCCTGAGTGGCTCTCATCGAACCCGTATTTTGGTGCTGGTTTCGGCCTAGTGGGCGTAGGCGCCGTTATGGGCCTCCTGAGGAGCTCCAGTAAGAATCTGTACGCTGCCGATGCCGGTGGGGGAATATATATTTGATTTTTTCGTGGGTTTACGGGGAATTTTATACAAAAACCAACGATAATTTTTCCGGAAATTTCCTCGGAATTTCCATTTTTTTCACCAGCACGTGTAAAAAAACCTGATCCTCTTATTACGGTGAGGAAATCCTCTTCTTCAGCAACGAGCCTGCAGACAGTGTTCCGTCGGCGAGCGCTATGTTCGCTGGAAATTCCTAGTAAGGACTACTCCTACCAGTGGGTCATGCAGTGGCTTGTGGCCAACAACGGCAACTATACTCAGCATATAGGTAAAGCTGATGTGCTAGCCCTTAGGGGGGAGGGGTTCCTATCGTGCTCAGGAGTCGAGACGAACCACTGTAAAGATATGGCCGGCCGGATGACGACGTCGTTTGATTTCATCCCTAGTACTGGTCGGCACTTTATGAAGTTTAATGGTACGTGGAGGCAGGTCGAATCAGTGTTGGAGTATATGTTTGCTTTTCTCATCTGAATTCGGGAGTTTCCTCACTAATTATGGAAGTTTTCATAAGAATTTGGGTAAAATTGTACAGAAACCATATAAAAATTTCCCCTCCAGTAGAGGCTAACAGGTGCCTGGATGTTGGTGGAACGCGAAAGGAACAACTCGACGGTGGACATTACTACCGGCTCTCCTTGGGAGACTCTCACACTCACTACGCTGGCATGGAACGTTGGGAAATTTGAAGGTATCATCATTTCGCTTCTGCGATGGCCGTTAGGCGCTCTCATCAGAGCTCCTCGTGGAGGCCCAGTGTATGGCGGCGAACAGGGAAGAGGGCAAGACGGTCATATACAATGCTACTGGTCATGAATGGCGTCCCTTTGGGAACCCCAAAACTGTACGGCCATTCGAATCAGGTGAGAATTATACCGAAAATGGGTTTTCTAGCGTGAATAATCGAACCCTAGTGATTTTCCTATAGCGGTTGGTGTGGTCGTTAATATCAGTGATCCTGGACGGCGCAGCTGCTGAGACCATCGCCTCAGACGTGAAGGAGTTCCTCTCCACTGGCACCTGGTAAGGACGTCATCTGCGTCTTCTCTTGCCAGTGGTGTAATATATGATGTTCCCTTTCTTCAGCTGAGCTCAGCACACGATTTCGGGTAGAAATATTCAAAAACCAACAAGAAATCCCCAAAAAATTTCCGTGAATATTTTTCCACACTGCCTCTTCCACCCTCAGGTACCTACAGCGTGGTATCCCCTATCGTAGGGGCTACCTATTTTATGGCCCTCCGGGGTGCGGGAAAACTAGCTATATAATGGCATTGGCTGGCCACATACAGTACTTCCTCCCTTTCCTTTTTCACCTCCTGCTACCGTCTTGATAGAATCCATATGAAGCCTTGGTGGCAAAGCGAGTATACATACTGAAATTTTTCGTCGTAGGAGAAATATCGTATCGGAGTAATGCGTGTCCTTCTGAGCCGGGTTCGATTCCCAGTCGCGGCACTCGTTCATATGGCGAGTCATTTCTCCATAATAACGTAATGTCTATAATGCCCCTTAGGATGCAGTAACATATATAGTATAGAATACAATCATATCAATGGAGTTTCACCACCCTAGTGATATGAAAAACACTAGTGAAAAATATAGTTCACGACCATTGCATATCACCACGAATATCGGGTTTTTCACAGAGTATTACGCCACTTCACGTGAAACGGGTGAAACACCGATATAGATTGAATATTCGATAGCATTTGGTATCAATCCATCTGACGATCTTATAGTATATTAATGATAACCTATTTATAAGTAGTATCACGGCTAGGCCCTACTGAGGTACAATATAGCGGTTCTTAACCTCGGCGATCCCACTATGTCCGATGACCGTCTTCAGCGCCTTCTAGCCACGGTCCCTCCCAAGTAACCATCACAGACTCTCTGGTCGGGGTGAAGGTGTTCCCCTCAGATGCCTTATCCTTCTCGAAGATGTCGATTGTGTTTTACCGGAGTACGAGCCTTCTGAAAAACCACAAGACCCCCGACGCCAGGGTGACTGATCATGCTCAGCCGATAGTCTCAGCGTCCATGCCTCAGGCATACGTCCTATGACCTTTTCTGGTCTCCTTAACGCCTTGGACGGTGTGGGGTCTACTGAGGAGCGCCTCGTTTTCATGACTACCAATAGGCCCTCTTTCCTCCCGCCAGTTTTGGTCCGTCCAGGTTGGTGCTATTGCATGTTTAAAGCGGTGGACTGCCGTTATCAGGTAGAGTGGACGTAAAAGTCCACGTCGGCCTGGCGACTCGTGAGCAGATGCAGCGAATGTTTATGCGATTCTACCCTGACTCGACTGAATGGGCGGAGGAATTCGCGCGGTGGGTTCGACTTTACAGTAGGAAGTGAATTTACGCTGAGCTCAGGAAACTCGAGGGGACGCCATTGTCGCTAGCAGACATACAGGGGTATTTCCTTTTCTTCAAGAATGACCCGGAAGGATGTCTGGAGAATGTCGGGGAATTCGCCGAGCGTGTTAAGAGCCAACGGTGAGGTCCTGCTCGCTAGTTTTATAGTACCAGTGGATGCATCTGTGTGATATGAGAATTCATCACTGCTTTGTTTTTTACTTAACGTCGTTAATAGAAGCCGATACGTCTCGGGTATTTCATCAGCAGTCGGCTGAAAACGATTTTTTGTTAGAAGTGGGGAAATTATTGAAAATTCGGAAAAAAATAGAAGCGACCTGTAGTGTTGCATGGGTTCCCTCCTAGGTCTGGCTTGGAAGAAGAAGATCGAAACACGTCCTCATCCATCCTTACCAAGCGAGATGAGAGACCTTCTTCTGACGGTGCCACAGAGGAAGCTCGAGATGCCTCGACTAGCATGTCTGCCTCTGCTGGATAGTCCTCCATGGATTGTGTGTGTATTCGACCGTTTCTGGTACGCTTAGATATGACTAAAGTTAATTCAGTTTGGGTAGCAAGAGGTTGTTTGCTACGATCATCATCAGTGCCGTCGTGATGTTCTCTGTACTTTCAAACACTGAGGGGGTTATTGGACAAGCTTGCTGAGTTGGGTTAACTCACTCGATAAGGGTGTCCACGTGATCGAACGATTCACTGATGCCTGTTCTGTTCACGGGTATGTTGTGAACTCGAAATGGCACTTACTCTTGTGATCATCCAGAGCTCCTCACCTGGGGCATTTGGAGCTCAAACACTAGAAACGTAACCGCTAAATTTTTGGCATGTTTGAGCCCTGACATGGGCGTGTTCTAAAGGGTGGTATACCCAAGTTGTGTATTCTATCAATTATTATTCCACAGCTGTTCAAGAAGGTGTGGTATGCACAGGTGTAGAAGAGGTCTCTGTCGTGTCTGCGGGGCGTGATGAAGCGTGTCGCTCGGCGAGAACGCAACGGATGGTTGTGATTATAGCTGATCTCAGTTCAGAACCTCCAAATGGAAAGGGAGGACTACAAACACCAGAATGATGCGATCAGAAACGTGAACAGAAACGTTGAATTCGTGCAGAACATGTCAATTCAACCGATTCAATCGCCGCCACCAAGCTGCCCAAGATCTTGGTGAACCCCAAGCTCGCGTAAGAGCATCGTCGCATAGCTTCCACGAGGCAGGTAGAACTAAAACCAAGCGAGAGTAACCGGACGCCAGCACTCACTGTGAAATCACTCACATCCAGGAGCATGTTCCGCTTGATGTTTTCTCCCCAGTCAAGTTTCCATTCCTCCTCAGAATGTAGTGCCACCGGCTTCACCACCAGAGGGCGCGCTATGGTTTTGATGACAACTCGGCATCCAACATTAGGGGTGAGGTCGAAGTCGATACCCTCCCGTGCCCATGGACCTATCTCGCCGAGGTTTACTGATTCTTCAATCAGATCGCGATACCTGTCAAAGCAAAGCTACCACCACAGCTATGCTACTGCTGTTTCACCCCAGGTCTCGAATATGCGAGTGGAGAGTAGTGGAGACCCGATCACACTATTTGCCATTGTGTTACGAGCTAATTCATGGCAGAGCACATATAGGGTTGCCAATAGGTTCGGGACTAGCTCCGGATGGGTGAACGACACAGGACACTACTACGAGTAGTGCATACGACACTACTCTCCACTATGGGAAAGGATAACGTACAGTGTTTGAACGTCTACTCCGGCCTCGCGTACAGGGCAACGGTCTGTCGACATACCCAGCAGAGGTATCCGAATGTCAGTCAATGCAAACCTGGAAATGATGCCTTCATAGCAGTGGTGCTCGCACAACGAAAAACTCCATACTTTCTCGCCTCCTCTTCGGACTGGACAAGCGCAAGCTCCTCTAAGTTGTCCCCAGCGCCAACAGCAACGAGGTCGCCCACCTGCACAGTCAAGCCTCCTGTCTTTATACGCCTGAGAGGGACCGTCATAACAGAACAAACTGAATGGAATTTTTTCTTCACCGGCTCGCGAGGCGATTCCATAAGCACGCAGTGTATGCATTGGGAAAGAGATGAATAACACTTCGCGGGAGCCTTTTTACTGCTTGACGATACTTCCAATGTTCGCCGTCATCACCAACAATCAGAAGCGCATCGATCCACCTGCAACTAGTGAGGGAACGAATATCGATTCGAGATGGCTACCAGTTGAGGTCTCTATTGTTCTCAGTGGACAGATGCCTGAGTGCAGATACAGCCTTTGCCGAATCGCCATCCAGTAACCATTGCCTGAAGACCTGACACGGACCGTAGCCTGGCAGTTCCCCAAACAACCATTGAGGTCACCTCAGCTTGCACAGTGTCGTCCCCTTCCGGTGGCTTCATCCAGTTCCGTATAGCCCTCTTGTAGTCCTTACATAAAATGGCTCCACCGATACGAACCTGTGAGGGACCTATAAGACACCATTTGCCGAGGTAAACGATCGAACATGTTGAGAGCCTCCATCCAGTGCCCATCCGAAACGCTGCAGACCAAAGTAGTTGATAAAGCCGACTTTCCGCAGGGACTCCAGCCGCTCCGACGCGCCCTTTTGTACTCCACGAACGCGCACGCGGAAGAAATTGCTGATCACATTTATCAGAGCCACCGTCGGACAGAACTCACCTACCCCATGAGCATCCCATACTGGAGCTTCCGGGACGTGTTATCGGCCTCGAAATTATCAACTTGTGCCCAACCCCGCTTGAGAGTGCTGCATAGATCCTCTATGGCGAACTGGATCTCTGCTGGGCTGTGTGTTGCTGGTAAAGTGGCGAACCTAATACAAGGGGAGAGACCTAGTTAGGTCGCTCAGTGGCACGAGCTACATGTACTGCATGTGTCGTCGTTGACAACATGGAAATTCTGAGGAAATTTTTGGGAAATTCTTATTGGTTTCTGTATACTTCTACTCGAAAATTTTCAAACTCAGCCGAGGAAAGCGACCATGCTGGCACGTACTGATATGTGAGTCCCCTTTTGTCCTTCAGCCCAGCAAAGTGCAGAGAATCTCGCGGGAGTTTCAGCTTTCGCTCGAGATGACTTTGTAATGTGGGCATGTCGATATTCACCTTATGCAAGACGAAGCGCCATCGCGCCCGCCCTATGAGGCCAGTCTGGGAGTAGGCTCGGCACCAGGACACTCGAACTGGATACGTCTCCTGACCGTCACACTCGCAGTCGCTGATCAGATCTCAGATTTAAAGCGAACTGACCAGCCACCGTTAATTACACTGTTGTAATATATGTTTGCTTTCCTCAGCTGATCCTGGAAGTTTCCTCACTAATTGTAGGAGTTCATATACGAACTAGGGTAGAAATGTGAAGCAGCTCTCCAGGATTTCCTAAAATTTCCTCAGAATTTTTACATTGTCAGCAACATATGTTTATATTTTCCCAAACTCATCGTCACTGTGTGGGAAAATATGCACATGGTCAACTACATATGTTGGTGACAATATCAAAATTCTGGGAGAAAATTCTTATTGGTTTTATTGTAAACTCCTATAATTCCTGAGCTCAGCTGAGTAGAGCAAACATATATTCCAGCACTGCATCGTCTGTCAGAACAAATCCTACTCACTGGAGCAGACTGAGGAGCGTATTTTTTTCTTACGCAAATTCGAAAAATCTGCGTTTCTCGTCAACGAATGGGAGTTTTGAGCTGAAACTTCAACAGAGCATAGATATAATGATTAGCTATTATATACTCGAATGAAACTTTAATATTCGGAACTGTTACTGAGATCTGAGGGCGAACGAGAAAAACACCACCCAGTTCACACGCATGGTGATTTCACCTGGTCAGCGTTCTCCTCTGAATTGAATGAAAACTGCACCTCCTTCAACTTCAAGCGAATCCTTGCTCTGAAATCTTCAAGATGAGTTTCAACGGAAACTCCCGAGGGCACTCGGAAACGCATATCCAAAACTTCAGGGGAGTATCTTATGCAATGCAGTCACGCAGCCGGAAGAAAATCTTCCACTGAGTTTTTCGGCAAGCACAGTAGAGATGTATGCCAAAGCACTGGCATGTCGAAATTGACACGCTCGGGAATATTCCCAGAAAAGGATTGATAAATTGTAGTTACTTCATTTTCGAAGTACCCTTATTACGATCTTTCATTTTGATATTCTATTTAATGCGTAACCATACCACACCAACCGGAAAACCCCAAAAAACTTATCGACTAGCACTCAGTGCGTGCACGAGTTTATCGAAGTCCAACGCCGACAACACAACTATACCGCTCCCGACTGACCCTGCCATATAGAAGCTCATGAACTTCCTCACTCCTTGTCCATCGAGTACTTCAGCAAGCATAGCGCTAGTCTCGGCGTCCGATGACAAGCTCAGCATAGTCTTATCCGCGAAAAACTTAGAGCTCACTGAGCAGACTACCTGGGGGGAACTCATGCTCCTCAGGGAACCATTCAAGAACCTATAATATCCCCGGGATGAACTCCTTTTAAATTTTCCACGGATGGCTAGGAAGACATTCTTCAATCAGTTTCCCATGTAAATGTTCAAACCCTAGGGGACGTTATTTTTTCAAAACTAGATCGGCCCCTGATCCTCACCACCTCCTCCTCCTCAGTGATTCGGAGCATAGCCCCTCGTATTTTCTTAACGTCACTCTTAGTGAAAGAAGACGCCAGTTCACATACCAAAACGTGGTTCCAAGTCGGCGAGTCCACAACGCCAGCGTTCGCCTGAATACTCACAACTAGGCCGACTGCCTTTCAAGGGCTTCGGCTCACTCTGTGAATGTCGATGAACATTCCTATGTTCTTCAGAGCTTCCCCACCACAGCACTCAAGGACGAAGGCTCTTGCCTCGTCTGTGCTCATAGAATAACTGACCACGCAGGTTCTCCTAACCAGTGTTGGCCTTGCTCAGCTGAGCTCAGGAGTTCCCTCAGTTACTATAGAACTCTACATACAAATTCGGGTAGAAGTGTCCTCAAACCAACAAAAAATTCCCAAAAAATTTCCTCACAAAATTTCATATCTCCACTAATACATGTAGTTAACCATGTTCATATTTTCCCACACTTTTGCTAACTACGCTTACCCTTCCCAAAAGGCCTTCCTGAGCTCTTCAGTTGAGTCTGCAGATCCAGGCGAAGGAGTCTCCTCAATGCTATCAATACGAGTATACGATTCCAATCTGATGGGCATCAACCCGTCCTCAAAACTCCAAGCAAAAATGGGAATTTTTGTACCCAAAAAATGTCAATTTTTTACTCAGAAAAGGTATTTTTTCAACCAAAAGAGTTCAATTTTTTTACTCGAAAAAGATCAATTTCTCTATATAAAGAAAGTCGATTCTTCCTACTCAGGAAAGGTCATTTTTTAATCAAAAGAGGTCAATTTTTCCTCCCGAAAATCGTCCATGCGGAAGCTCACTTATGCATAGTCTGCATTTGCATGAGTTCCTCTACTTCTTTCCAACCATCTACTCCTGTCTCGAACGGCAGTCGGGCTACTCTACCATCAATACCGACCTCGCGGACTTCCCAATCTTTTATCTACCAGTAAGGCACCCATGGCACAAAAACTCAACTGGTCTCCCTCTGAGTCGGTGATTGCCACACTGCTGGGCGAGCGCGATCTTAACATTTTTTTAAGACTGTCCCGTTTGCAGTACAGTTGTCCCTCAGCTGAGTTGTGTTAGATATTCGTATATTCTGTAATACTACAAGTAACGTAAATGAGTTATTCACGCCTCGTGTCGAGTGGATTGTGTTAACGGTTACATATTGTTGAGCTATTCCCCTGATGATGTAACTGTCAGCTCCTCTTTCTCTTCATCTCATTACTCTAGTATTCACCACCTGTCCTTGCCTCGCTCTTGATCAATGTATGGCTACGCACCCGCTGGAATCTTACAAGTTGAGTTCTACCGCAGTGAACTCAGTATAACACTTGTGACTTTTTCCGTGCATTGCTTTGTACGAAGTTAGTCCTCCACTACTGCGCCGATATATTGTGATATATTACGGAACGCGTCTTTGCTTGTCTAATACGTAGTTGATCCTTCTCCCGATCCTATAACAATTACCGAAACTATGACTTTTAGAAAAGCAAAAATATTCTGGAAAAAAGCCCGTGCCGGGGATCGAACCCGGACTGCCTGTTCCACATCGATTCAGGCTGCGTCTAGTGACGTGAAGAAGACATTCAACACACATTACCCGATACAGAATAGTCGTGGATCTCTCCTCGAAAACCCCAAGTATGTATATCGTTGCTCCAAAGAGTGCAGTCGATGAATTTACAGAATCAATCTATGTTCATTTTCCTCAGCTGAGCTCGGGAGTTTCCTCACTAATTATAGGAGTTTATACAAGTACTCGTTTAGAAATGTTCAGAAACCCACAAGAATTTCCCAAATTTTCTCATAATTTTCGTGCACTTTGACGTCACCTTCACTTTGACGCGACCCCCGATGCGCTGCATATCGATAAACTCAGTTATCCCAACACTATCGTACGATGGATAGCTCGGCAGCACTCGCGCTCGACTCCGTTGCCGTACCTATACACAAGGATTAAGCCCTGTTTAAACGATGATACAGGACCTCGCCAGCAATAGGCAGCTTCCATCTATGTGTTGGTCTTGAGCCTCCTTCTTGGGAGCTCGCCACCATGCTACTACTACTACAACAACATCCTCGATATGTGGCTCGAAGTACGTGGTGCCACTCGGGAGGTCGGGTGAGCATCGACAGGAGCGAAAACTTGACTATCAAAAAGCCCAACATTGATCGAACGCGAATGACCTTGTCGAAAGAGACTCTCCTAGAACTACCCGAAAAACGGATGCCGCAATTGGATTTTTTTCCGGCTGAGCAACCGTTATTCGCATAACGATCTACCATTCAACACTACCATCGACAGCATCACCAGGGAGAGTACAAGTGCCTCCCAAAGCCTAGCCGCCATACCGTAATAAGCAATCCAATACTGACCCCCTAAACGCTCCACTCAGGCCCCTCATCCTATACTCCACTAAAGCGTGTGTAGTATCATAGACCCGAACGGTTATAGAACGACAGGAAAAGGAAGTTTTTCCCCGTGTAAAATCAACCCAAAGTGAGATTACTGAAGCAAATTAAACACGATGACAGTCTAGCAATTAGGATCGGTCGGACAGTTTTTCCATGAGGCCCTTGAGGAAAAACAGGGGCTCTAGTCAGGAGTAGGCTTGTGACCATCGACGTAGAAGTTCACCGTTGACGCTGGTAGCTTCACCTCTTGGCCGTCCATATCTTCTGTTACTTTAACCTGAAGCCCACAAAATCTACTATACGCTACCATCTACTACTACTACTACTACTACTACTACTACTACTACTACTACTACTACCTGGCATCCCAGACGACTAGTGTCCTCCAAGCCCGGTGCGAGATCGAGCAAATCCTCCTCCTCATCAGTGGGTTCAGGAAGGCTATCGAAAAGATCTTGCGATAGAATACAGTGGCAAGTAGAACATGCCATTTGCCCCTGAAATAAATCTGCTCTATTGAGATAGCAAATCTCCCTCACCTCGCAAGCGCCCTCAAGCTCAACATCATTCAGATGGGCCACATCCAACAACGACCACCCAATGGGAGCCTTCGCGACCTTCTTACTCCCATCGGGATCGACAAAGGTGATATTAACACTAGGAAGGCCCTTAGCCGCAGCAGCATCCACATGGAACGCCCGGTTGAGCTTGGCCAGGTGCGTACTCAGGAAGGCAGGCGTGGAAATACTCGCCAGCACAGGGCTCATGCTCCGTATTAAAGAAAATGACATTCCCTTATGGACTCCTATGAAGTTGATAAAACTACGATGAGCTCAATCAAGTGCTTCACATAATATCAATAAATAGGCGCTATCACAAAGCACAGGTTGGCACAAGCTCGACTTCATAGATCACTGGTTCCTTTTAAGTGCCTCAGACATTTGGGGGAAAAACGCCGGATGGTGGGATCGAACCTCCGACCTCGGTTGAACAAATTGTTACATGCTATGGTCGCATCCAACCAGGAGAGGTACACCCTACGTCCAAGCCTTTCCTATATTCAGGCTTCATTTTCGACCTCAAGGGCTGCCCCCTATGAACCTGGGACCCATTTAGCTTTGGAAAATCGCATTAGGAGAATGGTCCTAATGCGAACATTTTCTAAAAAAAATAACCAATTTAGAACGAAAAAAGAATGCCGTCGCGAATTTTTATTTCATGATATCAAATAGCGACGACTCGTAACCAGCAGAACCCTAGAACCATACAAGGTCGTGAACACCTCCGAGTGAGCATATTTTTTCCGTACTGTTAACTCTCCCGATACTACCTTCCCCTGCCATCTCGTGTCGGGCCATAAGGATGAAAGGGGATGCGAGACGGATAACAGAAAACTGCTGGGAAAAACCGATTCATGGTTTGTTACCATATACCTCGCAGTGTAGTCATTGTAAAATGATATATGCCAAGACCAGGAATCGAACTCGGTTCGTTTTAGTGAGAGCCCAACTGACCAACCAACTCATCTAAAAAGTAGGGAAAGAAACTCAGGCACATTGGTATTTTCACAATAATGAACTCAGAACCGCATCTTCTTTCCACAACGAGCCATCGCGCGAGCCCTCGCCGAAAAACTAATGTTCTCGCAGTCCAGAAGGATAACCTGCAACACACCATCAACTGAGCGCTCTCACAGTCATTTTGATCTGCCATTGTAACGCTAGAGCCTATCTTCACCAGTGTTGGAATATTTATTCACTTTCCTCAACTGAGCTCAGCAGTTTCTCAAGTTGTTATCAAAATTTACACACGAATTCGGGTAGAAGTACACAGAAACCAATAAAAAATTTCCCAAAATTTCCTCCGAATTTTCACATTATCACCAACACACGTAGTTGACCATATGCATATTTTCCACACTGACCTTCAGTTTGCCCTTACGGGCAGCCACAGCATCAGCAAGCACCTCAACAGAGACATCCGTAAGACCCGGGTTAGCATTCAAATACAGAGACTCCAGTGTAGTGTTATCCTCCTTGAGAACCTGACCGTAACAATGCCCCCCTTATTCCCCCTAAAGTTCAAGTAAAAGCCCAGAAAGAAATCCAGAACCAACTCAGTACAACATGTGATGAGCATAATTATAAACCTAGCACATGCTACGAGTCAGGCATCACAGAAGACAGTAGCAGTAGTAGCATAACAGTGTGATAAGCATGACAGTAGACCCAAGAGCCTAGCACTGTTAAGGAGTATTGACCACGATACCACCACTTCCAATCCAATACAGGTTGAGCTAGATGCGGTATGACTCTAACAATTAATACCTTGGCTAAAGCAACGACACCCTCGTCGGTTAGTTTGTTCTTCCGCATCTCCAACAATCGCAATTTATTATTCGTCTTCAGCGCCTCGGTGATGTACCCTGACAACAAGAACACAGCTAACGAACTTCCATCCGGGAGATCCCCGGTTCGATCCCCGCACCCGACATATCTCACCTAGTCCCTCATCAGTCATATTAACTCCTGATATGAGCAAAGTCTCCAAGGGATGCCCATTGCTAGCCCGCCCCAAAACCTACACCAATACACATAACACCTATCCTGGCAGTGCGGGGAAATATGCACGCGGCGAACCTCATATGTTGATGACAATAGGAAAACTCTGAGGAAAATTCTTACACTTTTTTGCAATTTTTAGCAGATTTCTGTACCCTTCTAGTCAAATTCGCATGTAAACTTCTATAATTACTAAATAAAACTACAAACTTGAGCTGAGGAAAGCCGACGCGTGCTGACGAGTTCATCAGAACCTACTCTGAATCTTTCACAATCAACCTTTAGATACTCTCACATATTCCGGATAATTCCCATACACTTTTTTTCACATACCCTACCCTTCTTTTTACATGCTCAGCTATGGCCTTCACTCCAAGGTCACCCATACGTGGGTTGTTGTTGATATCGAGCATTTCACAGTCAGCATTCTGGAATCTAACACAAAACACATCTTCCAACGCCGGACTGGTGATATCGTACCGGAGCATCTTAGCAATAACAAGAGCATCCATGTCAGTGAGGTCCTTAGCATCAACGTGAATGAATGCCTTCCCCCCCATTAACTGTCCAATACGCTTTCTGATCAACAACATAACAAATACGGTATTTGCTATTTGAAATACCTCATCTACACCTCCTCTCGATTTACCCTAAGAATAGCCACTTCAAGTTCATACATTGCCGTTTCAATTTCTCGTGATCGAAATTTTTCCGTTTTTGATTGACATTTTTCCATTTCAATTTCTAGTGATCGCTACTTTTTCCGTTTCCGTTTCACATTTTTCCATTTCAACGAGTAGTGTGAATAAACTTACATGCCAATCTTGTCGTTTAAACCCGCCGCAAATTTCTTGGCATTTCCCGAAAGATCATACTGCACAGCAAGACAGTCTTCAGTGGATCCTCCCAGCCAATCTTCACATTGCTCGATAACGAAATCCGCTATTTGACCTGAGCCGAAGTGTGAGGAAACATATGCACATCGCTAACTACGTATGCTGATGACAATATGAGGAAAAACCTGCGGAAATTCGGGAAATTTCTTACTTGTTTCCGTACATTTCTACCCGAATTCGTATGTAAACTTCTATAGACAATAAGAAAACTCCTTAGCTCAACTGACTGTTAATAGTATCTTCCAAAATACTTAGCTGCCCTACCAGGCTCCTTCATCTCCTCCGTGAGATTCGCCGGTTCCGTATCTTCCTTTTTTGTGGGTACAACCTCAAGGTTCATCCCAGCGACAGCAGGAGTCTGGCAAGCCAGCAAGTTGCCCTCCACTCCATCGAAATGTACCTACCAGGTCATCAACAATCACCATTATGATTCGACCCAATACTAGAGCGTTGATCTAAGAAATACAACATTTCCAGATCGAATTCATTTCTTTTACTCATTCGGTTAATGTTTTACCTTCAGCATTTTACCAATTTTTTTGATGAAATCTCAAGAAAATGATTGCTACTTCCGTTTTATTTGCGAATTTAAGGATCTAACTTAACCAAGACCGCGCGAAATTCAACCTAGAAATGCCGTAGACCGCCGACAGAAACACATAGAGACTCATAAGCCGTCGCTTCCAATACCGTAAAAAGCATACCCGTAAGCCCTATAGTACGAAACAGAATAAAATTGTCCGTGATGAGTAAATAAGCGTTATACCAGACCCATTACAATGGGTGGTGATACCAGGTGAGAGCCTTCACCCCTGCCTTACCGTGCACTGCTTGCATTCTCCTTTACCACCGCATTCACTGTCTATCGGTATCCGCAGATGCTGTAGCATAGTCAACACGCTCTTATGAGTA